GAGAACCAGCCTTCTTTGTCCCATCAGCTTTTGTCTAAAAAAGTAATTCAAGTCCATTCCACACAGCTGACCTTCTTTGTCAGGATTATTTGAGCTGGTTGATGTGGGGTCTGCATCATGCAGCTGACCTTCTTTGTCACGACAATAATTGTCAAAACAATTTCTGTAATATAATACAGATGTCTCCTTAAAAAGATATCAACTGATGACTGATATCACTAGAAATTTCACAAGCCTCTGGTTACACTTCTGCTTATTCCATAGCCACATACAACGGGAGAAATCATCCACATTCCAATCATATTCCATTAATAAAGAGGAAGTTCCATTTGGACAGTTTCTTCCCAAGAACTGCTCCTTTGTGGAATGTACTCCCAAGAGAATGCCGTTCCATTCATTACAATGTTAACCTCTTTAATCCCTGCATGAACAATCTTTCCTATATATCTTTATAAACTGAACTTCTTATGCTCATAAAACCTTATTCAATAACAGTCTATCTTGAGTGACTCTTGGGCCTTGTATTGGGTAAATATTAGTTTAAAAGAAAGAAAAAAACTGACTATGCTTGGGTTAGTGTGAAACACCCAACTAACTCCTCTATCCTTACACTTCTCATTTGCAACTGGTTTTGAGTCCTTATCAGTTAGACCAGCGTTTCTGAACCGAGGTTCCCCAGAACCCTAAGGTTCCACAAAAGGTCCATATGAACCTTCCATAGTTAAGAATAGGATATAATCAGTGCTTTGCATATGTACCAAGACAACTAGTATGAACACTCTTTCTTTTAGTAAAGGCTACTTATCAGTCTTTAAGGGTAAATTTGATGCAAGGTCAGTTTAATGCATCGTTCTGTAACCCTAAGGTTCCACCAAAGGTACCGCGAGAACAGGTGAGATAAGCTAATGCATTTTTGACTTTTTATTTAATTTATATACATAATATTAAACGCACACAATATATTCTTGGTTATTGTAATATTTTAATATAGACATCATCCTATCTAACCTATCAGGTTATTAAAATATATAACAATCACTGGGAATATATTTAGTGTTGTCTGTATGGTACCAGTGTGAAACTAGTCAGTGCTCACTCAACAAACAAGACTTGTACTTAAAGTTGCTTATTTCTTTTTTCTTTATTTTTACAGAAATACCTATAAAAAAAAAACTGATGCAGCAATTATCTTTTTTTATTCTGTCTGCATTTATATTATTAGGTATATGATATTGGTTACTTATGTTTTTTTTTTTTAAATTTGAGTTTTGAATTTTTTTTGTGTGAATGAAAACTCCCTGATGAAGTATTATAAAAAGACAGTATGAATTTTATTATCAAAAAATTTGATAAAGAAGTATTAATTTTTCTTTAAACCAGTTATTCAAAGATATATACTATGATATTTACCATGTGAACTACGATGAGTTATCGATGAAAATAAAATGAGAAAGATATAGTATATAATTTTGTTTTGGCGCAGGGGTTCCTTGAGACATGTAATTTATTTTAAGGGTTATGCAAAGGTTAAAAAGGTTGAGAAATGCCGAGTTACACAAATATAAATAAATATATATATATATATATATATATATATACATACAGTATTTACATTAGTCGGACTATTGTCCTCATCTTTGTCGCCATATTTGTCACAGAATTTGGCCGTTTATGCGCTCCGCCCTTCTTCAGGTGGTTGGAATTTCAACTGAACCCTTTATTTCGTTCACTGGGGTAGACTGTTCTAGTTCCACGTTTGATGGATGGATGGATGTCAGTTATCAGTTATCTCCTGCTAATTTTCCCTCTGAAAGTTCTCTACTGCCTTAACCAGGTATTGAACTCACCTTCTTTGGGTTTGTCACTGGATCTAACCAACGCCTTTATCCACTGTGCCATATGCAATTCTCACTTTACAGTAAATCCTGTCTTTTATGAAAACATTAACAGGGCAAATTTATGTGAAAAGAAATTCTCATTTTAGCATTTTTTTTTTGCATTGTTCTTACAGCCATTTTTATTGGGCATATTTTCATCAAAAAATCAAAATAGATATGTTCATCAATTATTACAGACAGGGAATGTGCCAAGTTTAGATTTGATATAAAATGAACCTTTAAAAATAAAACCAATAAATAAACATTTTATCAAAAAACTCATCTAATGAACAATATGCATTTCTGAACACTGAAAAGTAAAGATGACAGTTTTTGCAACATATTAGTATTCACTAGTTTTATACACATGAGATGGTTGATGATAAAATGTAAATTAACATTATAAATCACTGTCACCAAGCAAAATCAGTTGTATACACAGGTTAGCCATTTATGGGTGGAGGTACACAAAAGTAAATAAGGTTAAATAAGTAAATGTCTTTTTTTATTTGGGTGCTTTACATAGTCTTAAAATACAAATAGAGACATTGATTATCACCTAAGAATTTGCCTGATATATGGCTGGGGATTTCAAAAGGTTGATTTTCAAAGCAAGTAGGCTTTCTTCATTTTGAATCCTAACCCTTTTCTACCAATCAACTTTACACCAAATTAAACTAAGCTAAATTAATATATTTTTCATTTTAGTGCTTTACTAAGTTTTATAATACAAATAAATAGACATTGATTATCCCCTAAGAATTGGCCTGTGCACTATGGATTTTAAAAGCCGATTTTCAAGGCAAGCATGCATTCTTCACCTTGAATTTTTCACTCTTATTTTCCCCCTAGAATCAGTGTTGCACTAAATTAAACTAAGCTAAATAAATATTTACTTTCATCTGAGTGCTTTACATGGGTTTAGAATACAAATAGATACAGACATTGATTATCCTCTAAGAAGTGGCCTGGGCACTTCGACGTGATGTAATGGTTAGCAAGATGTCTCGACTGGAGTTCAATCCTCACTAAGTGCTCCATAAGGTCTTGTGCTACATCTAAACTACACTTGGAAACCCCCAACCTAAGAATTGGCCTGCTATATAGCTGGGGGTACTGTTTTACCATTAGTGTCAGTACTCAGTGCTTGAGCTTAGGTTAAAAGCAAGGATTTTGAATGCTGATATTCAAGGCAAGCAAGCAGTCCTCTCTTTGAATCTTAACCCTTATTCCCTCCTCATAACCAGCCTTAAAAAATCAAACTAAGCTAAAAAAAATATCTATTTTCATCTGAGAGTAATATATGATTTTAAAACCCAAACAGATGTCATCATTGGCTTCTGCCATCAGTGAATATGATAAATTTAGATTTTCATATAAAAATATATAACATCACAATTTTGGCTTTTGATTCTAATACAACATACATTCTGCAGAAATATGGTAAACAGCCTAACAATAATAGATGGATATTAAGCAGAACAGCTTGGAAATATCAGCGTCTTGGTTAAACTGGTTGTAGAATCAGCGTCATCAACAAGAAGTATATTTCTTTTGTTCTTTTACAATGAATATTTGTCAATGTCATTTATGCTAATTAAATCTTTGTTTATTTTTAGCATTCCATCAACTGAGGAAGGCCTCTGGTCACATAAGTGAACAAACAGCAACAGGGCAGTTACAGGTAACAAATAAGAGAACGAACAGGACAAACCTAACCAGCTCCACCCTCACCTTGACCATGCCTGCCCTCTTATTTATGTACTTCGCTCAAGTAATCAACAGGGTCATCAACGCATGGGCAGCGGCGAAGAAGAAAGTACAGAAATTGAAAACGCAGAGAACCTGGAGGGCCAGTCCGGTGGATATTTCATTCAGCTCAGGCATAAAACTGAACGAATACCAACGGCTCTGACAGTGTCGAGATAGGAAATCGGTTATTATTTTCGTTTCTTTGTTAACACAAACACGCACATACACACGCAAAAACCTGTTTCAGTCAATGAGCACTATTTTAGTATAAAAAAGAATGAAATGAAATCAGCTGTTAAAGTCTTTTGTAGAATAAACTCGAGTCATACAACAATAGAAGCAATTTACATGTGTTTTTTCTTGAGTTAAAAGAGGACGGAGATAGAAAGATATGCTGTCAAGTGTTCCTGCATGTTATAATTATAAGTATATTTTTGGAAAGTATGAAATAGTCAAAATAGTAGCAGTTTTATAAGTGAAGAAATTATGTGCTAGATAATAATAACAATAATAAAGAAAAAAAAAGAATGACTGAAGCCATCAGTGCATTGAATAAAGTTTTAAATTGTCAGATCTTTAAGATATGTATGTATGTATGTATGTATGTATATATATATATATATATTCTGGTCATCTGATGATCACATGAGTATGAAACTAAGTTTGTCTCTTTTGAGATGTGACACTGAAGCATTTTTGCTCTGTCCTAATAACCTAGGCATTGAGCACTGTCAGTCACTGTTTAGGTAGGTGTCTGCCTTTTGGTCATTTTTTCTTTTTTCTAAGTTTATTTTCCTGTTCTTGGATAGGTTTTATTGGTTTTTGCTGTTAGTAAATTTTGTTTGTTTTTTTTTTCTGTTTATGTTATCTTTTAGTCATATATTTGAAAAAGATATATGTCAAAGAATTAGTACAAATATTTGAGGTTGAAAATAGAATTGAAAGAGAAACAAAATAGCAATTATCAGTTTATGAAGAAGTACAATTTAAAGCTGTAACACAGAAATACTTTTGTCTTGGGTTTCTGTATTTTTGGGAATTGGTAGCAGTAAAAAATATTTGGCAGCCACATGCATAAAAAATAGACTTAATAAATACTGCAATTATATAAAGATTAAAATAAAAACAGAAAAACAAAAAATATCTTAGGAGAAACGACTTTAGAGTTGTTAAGTATACTTAACGGGACTTTTGAAAAAGCTGATGAAATTTCTACAGATTATCACAAATGAAAAAAAAGATGAAAAATAAAACAGCAAAGGTTAAGGAGAAATAATTGGATTTTTTTTATTAATCATATGAAAAGTTCATTATTTTAGAAAGTATAAAATCTCATTTTTAAAACCAATTTTTCATTTTAAATCAAGATTTTCATAAATTCATGCAACACCTACAAAAGATAAAATTTCTGTAGGAGGGAAAACAAACAGGAGAAAGAAGAAAAAAGAAAAAAAGAAAGAAAAAGGAGGAAAAAGAAAAAAAGAAAGAAAAAGGAGGAAAAGAAAAAAGAAAGAAAAAGGAGGAAAAGAAAAAAAAAAAAAAAGGAGGAAAAAGAAAAAAGAAAGAAAAAGGAGGAAAAAAAAAAAAAAGAAAAAAGGAGGAAAAAAAAAAGAAAGAAAAAGGAGGAAAAAGAAAAAAAGAAAGAAAAAGGAGGAAAAAGAAAAAAAGAAAGAAAAAGGAGGAAAAAGAAAAAAAGAAAGAAAAAGGAGGAAAAAGAAAAAAAGAAAGAAAAAGGAGGAAAAAGAAAAAAAGAAAGAAAAAGGAGGAAAAAGAAAAAAAGAAAGAAAAAGGAGGAAAAAGAAAAAAAGAAAGAAGAAAGGGGAGAAAGAAAAAAGAAAGAAGAAAGGGGAGAAAGAAAAAAGAAAGAAGAAAGGGGAGAAAGAAAAAAAGAAAGAAGAAAGGGGAGAAAGAAAAAAAGAAAGAAAAGGGGAGAAACAAAAAAAGAAAGAAAAGGGGAGAAACAAAAAAAAGAAAAAAGGGGAGAAACAAAAAAAGAAAAAAGGGAAGAAACAAAAAAAGAAAAAAGGGAAGAAACAAAAAAAGAAAAAAGGGAAGAAACAAAAAAAGAAAAAAAAGGTAGAAACAAAAAGAGAAAAAAAAGGGGAGAAAGAAAAAGAGAAAAAAAGGGGAGAAAGAAAAAAGAAAGAAAAGGGGAGAAAGAAAAAAGAAAGAAAAGGGGAGAAAGAAAAAAGAAAGAAAAGGGGAGAAAGAAAAAAGAAAGAAAAGGGGAGAAAGAAAAAAGAAAGAAAAGGGGAGAAAGAAAAAAGAAAGAAAAGGGGAGAAAGAAAAAAGAAAGAAAAGGGGAGAAAGAAAAAAGAAAAAGGAAAGAAAAGGGGGAAAAAAAAGAGAAAAAGTGGAGAAAAAAAAGAAAAAAGAGAAGGAAAAAAAAGAAAAAAAAATGAAGCAGAAGGAAAAAAATGGAGAAAAACAGACCAAATTCAAATTCCCAGCTCTGAACCTTCTCTCCTCACTGGAGATTCTCAGTTACAACAATATCAATTGCAGGCGCAAGGTCTTTGGTACAACATCTTCAACTCGAGAAGACAGCATTATTAGTGAGGAAGATGTCCTTGAAGACAAACCTGACTTGCCATACACAGACTTAAGAAAGACCAATGACATGGCCCACAGAGCAACAACATCCTACTCTCAACCTCTTTTCAACCTCTCCAGTCGTGGCTGCTGTGGCCGGGATAACCTAGCCATGGAGCGTAGTCCACGTAGCACTTGTCGCAGTACAGCTACCAGCTGCACTGCAATTGCTGTCAAGCATTCATGCAGCATTGAGAACTTTTTACGACTGAGAAGTCTCAGTGATGAGCTGAGCCTGGAGATGGAGAAACGCAGTTACCCAAGTCTGAGGAGCAGTGCATCTGGGAAGACAACAGAACACAGCTTTCTCAGCCTGGCAACGAGCCTGCAGAGTTTAGAGAATCGACTCTGGAGAATCTGCAAGGTAAGGGAGAGCACTTTCATCATTTTTCTTTATGCAGCAGCACAATTTTCACAACACTTGCAACTGCAGACATTTCTCTGCACTATAATTTCACCGGCTGTCTAGTGACTGTGGTAGATACAAGTTTCCCTAGCTTCACCAGTAGTAAGTGTTCAAGCCAAGGTAAAAATGTGCAGATTTTCAAGGGTTGACCCTCCTTACTTAGAAGATTGGCACAACATACAGCCATTTTTCCATATAAGCTAACTTTGTGAATTGTTTTTAAGCTGGCTTTAATAACAAAATGAAAGAAATATCTCTTATGCAGCAACATAATTTTCTTTTGATACATGACTGAAGAGGCAGATTTTTTCCTGCAGTAGGTTGCCATGTCTTTTTGCAGTAGACAAGTTGCCATCCAAGGCTCTAGAACCCAGTCTGTCTTGCTATTTACCCATAGCTGGTGGGAGAAGAGGATTCATACCTTTCCCAAGGGTATTAGCACATAAGTGAATGTAATGGATTTGACTGGAATTCGAACTTGTCTCTGAATTTCTCAATCCGAGCCACTATCCATTAGTCCACTGTGCCTCCTTTGAAATGGTTAAATTAATAAAAAAGTAAATACTGTATATGTTAGTATACAAGTCAACCTTTTAGCCTTAAAAAAATCCTACCAAAAATAAGGGGCTGTCTTATACACCAAGTATAAAATGTAAACCTTAAACTCTGTGGTTTATAGTAAGTTGTTAGCATGGGAAATTTTTGATGGTCAGCTAAACCCATCTTGATAACTATCAATACAAATATTTTCGACTTTAAACAACTTAGTAAAAAATAAAATGAGTTGGTAAAAATAAAATAGGGTCAATTTATTTGAGAGCCAAATATTAATCTTTATATACCAGTATTTTATTAAAGTGCCATCACCAGTGTTTACACTTGCAGCAGTTGATTGTGTTATCATTACCAGGTAATGGTAAGTGTACCATGTAGATTATGGTAGGGGTAATGGTAAGTGTAGACTGTGGTAGTTAATTGACAATATCTCCATTTTTCGATGATGTTGAACAAAAACACAACTGGATATGTGCCTCAACAAGCCATTTAAGGATTGCATTTGAGAACAGTAGAATGTGTGGACAGTTAGCAGGGAAAAGTTATTTGGGTTACCATAATAGCCTACCAAAAACGCAACACCCACTCATGAAGTATTGCAGATTGTGATAATTAATTGACAATATCTCCCCACCATATGTTCATTAGAATTTGAACGAAAAGAAAATATATGCTTACTGAATTTATTTAATAAATTCAATACAATTTTAAAATACAATGTTGGGAGAGTTGTCTTGTTTGTAAATATAGCTTGCAATATACATATTAACTTAAAAATTTTGGGGTTGTCTTATATGCCTAGTTACCTTGTATGGTAAATATACAACATAGATTTAGTATGTGAGCAGATATAACAAATATATTCAATAAATTAAAAAAAAAAATACCTATCTCTGTTTTGCTAGAAAATTTATGCCATATATTATCTTCATGGTTGTGTCAAGTGGATACAAAATGTATATTTAGATTCTTCCCCCAGAGAATTTGATCAATTGCAATTCTTGTTACATGATGACCTTGCAACTAAGAAACTAAAGCTCTTTCACATGGCTCATAATTAAATCATCTTGAGTGCTTAAGAGTGGAACTTAATTTAACAAATACTGAAAGTTGAAAGAAAAATATTTCTGACTTTTTATTATAAGCTGCTTTTTATTTTCAAGCTAGAATCAGTCACTACAAATGTACCACCATTGATGAAAGGTGCTGTTGCCGCTGACTGCATAACACTCTTTTAGTCTCTAATTGATATTCTGATGTTGCAATACCTAAAATTTGTAATGAAGCCAGGGTAACACCACTGATGACATCTACTGTTTCATTTTATAAGTGTACTAGCAATAGAGCCCGGCGTTGCCCGGGGATGTGACAGTAAGAGATAGATCAAGTATCGACCATCATAAAGACTGAAAAATAAAATTGACAAAGATTATTGTTTAAGGTTGACGGACACGCATGTCTTAATTAGTTTTTTTTTTTACAAATTGGTGAAACCCAAACTCAAACAAAAACATTGTTTTCAATCGTTAAGAGTCTACCGATTGAATAGAATTTTATTATAAACAATTGTCTTGTAAATGGAATTTTTAAAGCATTCTGAATGTAAAAATAAAGAAAAAAGTGTGCAAGATAATAAAAAACACTACCTACCAAAAAAAATGAAGTTTTGTTGAAATCGGTTGAAAAATGTAGGAAATCCGATCCCATATATAAATGAACACACACACACACATAAACAACCTGGGTTTTTATAAGTATAACTCCATAAGAGTTGTCCCCCTTTCATTCTCACGATGCCTCTTAATCGTGTTTTCAAATTGATTTTGTGCAAAACCAATTGTGTTTTTCCAATTTTTGGCGCTGTCAGAACCACCACAAGGTAATTTTACATAGTCCTGTGAAGTTTTGTTGAAATCGGTTGTAAAATGTAGGAAATTCGATCCGATATATAAACGTACAGACACCCACACACGCAACCTGGGTTTTATAATAAGTATGATTTCAAGAATTTTAAAGCAAATGGAAATAATTTTTTTCACAAGACACAACTGCAACAAGATTAATAGGTGGAATAAAACAAAAAGACAGAATATAATGAAGAATGAATAAATACAAAGACAGCTGAATGAATCAAAAATAATTTTCAATGACCATCTGGTGTTCTATTTATGAAATGATTGTGGTTTCTATAATTCTGAGAGGAGTTATTGCTAATATTTCAAGAATTATTAAGATTTATCTATTAGTTTCTACTGAGGATGATCTGCATAACATTAACTTAAATATTGTCTGAAAATCTGAGATGAATCATTTGCATTATTCTACAAGTTATTTGAAGGAATATCGCAATCCTTCCTGTTTTTATCATTACTTTCTATTTAATCATTTATAATGAAACTGACTTGCAAAATATTGAAGTGTCATCATTATTCTATGCATTACTTGAATAAATATCCCAATCCTTGTTTTATCATTTTTTTCCATAGTTTCTACTGAGGTTGGCTCAAATTATTCTGCTAGATATCTGCAACTTTGCTTCTCATATTGAAGTTTAGGTGACATTGTATTTATACTTTCCTTTCATTTCCCTGCTTTACAGATATTTTCCAAGCTGAGCAACAAAGACTTGTCCAAACAGAAGTAAATATAAAAAAAACATCCATATGAATTATCCATAGTTAAAAATAGGATATAATCAGTACTTTGCATATGGACCAACACAGCAAGCATGAACAATCTTGTTTTTAGTACAGGCCATTGCTCCGTCTTTGCATAAGGGCAAATTTGACGCAAAGTTAATTTAATGTGTTGGTTCCTATCATTATAGGAATGACTACAAAAACATCCCCATGACAAAATTTATAGAAACTGCAGTAGATGCATGCTGGGATTTCTTCCTAGCCAATAAGATAGACCACTTCTTGGACTGATCTACTATATTCTTGTTCTTTCTTGTGTGGTAACACCATTAATTTGTGAACCTTTTTATTTCATTACTGCTGTTTTACCTACTTTTGTCTTGCATATATTGTTTGCTTATTATTATATTTTGCTCTGTACTTTGCTTTCTTTTGTTATTATATATTGTAAACTTTGTCAATTCTCTTTGTTGGGTATTATGGCCAATTACTTTACAATATTTCTTGAGCTCAGCAACAAAGACATGTGCAAACAGAAGTGACTGACAGGTAAATCTTAAAATTTCCAGCATATTAAATGCACATAAATAGACACTAAATAGAAATCTAAACTCTAAACAAATCTGTACACAATATATAAAAAAAAAACATCCAAATGTTCCTTCCATAGTTAAGAATAGGATATAATCAGTGCTTTGCATATGTACCAAGACAACTAGCATGAACACTCTTCCTGTTAGTAAAGCTCACTTATCCATATTTGCATAAGGGTAAACTTGACACAAGGTTAGTTTAATGCAGTGTTTCTCAACCAGGGTTCCCTGGAACCCTAAGGTTTCACAAAAGGGTCCCCAAGTGTTCCGCGAGAACAGATGAGATAAGCTAATGCACTTTTGACATTTTATTTAATTTTATATACGTAATATTACTAAACACACACAATATATTCTTGGTTATTGTAATATAGACATTATCCTATCTAACCTATTATGTTATTAAAATATAATAATTACTGGGAATATATTTAGTGATGTCTGTATGGTACCAGTGTCAAACCACCTTCACTAGTCAGTGCCCACTCAGCAAATGGGACCTGTACTTAAAATTACTTATTTCTTTGTTTTTTCTTTATTTTTACAGAAATACTTATAAAAAACTGATGCAGCAATTATATGTTTTCGTTCTGTTTACATTTATATTATAGATATATGATAATGGTTACTTCTCTTTATTTTTACGTTTCAGTTTACAATTTTTTGTGTAAATGAAAACTCCCTAATGAAGTATTAAAAACGAACAGTAGGAATTTTATTTAGCATTACCGAAATATTTGACAAAGAAGTATTAATTTTTCTTTAAACCAGTTATTCAAAAATATATACTATGATATTTTCAATGTGAACTATGATGAAAATAAAATGAGAAACGCTGTCCACAGGCATCCATGTGAGCAAGGGTAAAAATTGTTCTGTCCCCCTCAGCACTTTCCTTTTGAGATACCTCAGGCATTAGACATTAGCCCTGACTCTTCCCATTTAAGTAATGGGAAATATACACTGTGTAGAGGTATGGCCACCTGGTGCTGAGCATATTACACTTATCTTTGCAGGATGGTTGTTACCTGCTGTACCAGATTCTATTTGGTACAGATAGGTGACATTTTTCAAAATGGATTCCTGTCTGAAAGAATTACCCAGATCAAGAGCCCTCTCTAAAAAAAAAAAG